GGGGGGGGGGGTAAATCCCCCCTACGGGCTCGTGTTAAATAATTGCTCACGTAGAACACAGTTTTTAAATCTTTTCTACTTAATTTTTCCCATTTCGACCACTGAGAATGTGTATGATGTAAGTGATAGGGGCATCTTAAAAATGGTGGATAAATCATTCATATATTCGTAGGAAATTTAATTTATTTCACACTTTAAAAAGTAAAATATTTCAAGATCAAACTTCAGAAATCCTTATAAGGATAACTATTTATATCAAGGTGATAACATTTTTAAAATTCAATAGAAACATGTTAATATATTACGACATTATTCATATAGTGTCAATACACATTTCTATTACTAAGTATAAAATAATGAATCGGAAAACCAGTTTTTTCGGCAACCTATCTATATTAAATTGGATAAATTACTTTCAAAACTATTCCAAAAATAAAATAATTTCTTGTCAATGTGGATTTTTACATTTTACATTAATTCAAATTGTGCTATAATTCTGATTTATCAATACGATTTTAACTAATACTTTTCTATTAGCATTTGTAACTATATTGATTTTTTTGTCTTTATGATTTCAGGCCTAGAAGCTCAAATGCAAGAGACGTCCAAAGATCTATATTGGTTTCAATAAAAATAGTTTTTACTTTCGTTAAAAATGCAATAATATGTATAATTTTTTGTTGTTAATATTTAAATCGATCGTTTTTACTTGTAGGGAAAATAGTTTGTCACTAAATAAACGTGAACAACATTCTGCTTAGGAATAAACCAATATTATCTATTGTTATCGGTTTTTTTTATGAAATGTAATCGTATAAATTTAATGACGACCATTGATGTATAATATAATAATAGTTATTATTATATGTATTATGGTGAAGAATAAAACATCTAAACATTTTGTTTTAAAATGGTTTACATAAGACGTATAATAATAAATTGTGTTGTTTGATGTAGTACTTTATAATTAAGTAATCAACTACGTAAATCTTCAAGTCGGATTACTTTATAAATATTGTATGGCGGAATTTTTTTAAAAAATATAGTTAGTAATACATCTCTGTCGTAGTATATATTATACTAATGTCCTCATTATAGTGTAATTTTCTACTTATATACAATTTTAACGAATATTTTTCACGTAAGTTGTCTATTCTTTATTTTAATTAAGACATTTCACTTTGTATAATTATTATTATTATTATCATTATTATCATTATAATATTTGTAAACTGTTAGAATTGTGTGTTGATGTGCAATGTTAGAGTAGGTATTTTTGAAGACGATATTCACTCGAATATTATTATTATTGTCGCGTAATAATATAATATAACCTACCAAAGGTGTATTGCCTTAAACTGTATAAATATATAATTAGTTTTTAAAATTAAAAATGTTGAACAATATGTATCCCAAACTTGGTTGTATACGAGCTGAATAAAATGCTGAATTTTACGAAATGTGTCATTAGTACATTTACTCGTATTATTTCTACATTATAATTCATAGGGGTAACATCTTTTCCTTTCGTCCAATATTTTATTCTGTATATGTAGTTCTAATCATTTGAACGACGTTAATTACCTGTAACACCGTAAGTATACGTATGTCAATTAGTCGTCTATATACACATATTTGTTCCAGTACGAAGTTAAAATGGTAACGTCAGTGTATTAGATACCCATATATATAGAAGTCATCGTAATTCACTACTTTTTAATTACACTATTATAAAACGCGTAGTAAAAATGTATTTAAATAGCTTACAGTGAAAAAATGCATTCTAACAATGATTGCAATAATCACTTATCTAATCGAATAAAGTTTAATTTTTTTTATCATCATCAGAACATTCGCCGATGATTTTTAATATGTATTAAGGCATTATTAATTAAAAACTATTATTGATTTCTGGAATAATTTAAATTTAAACAAAAAAAAAATAAATGGACAAACTATTATGTAATATAATTTTAAGAAAAACTAATGTGTAAACGAAGTGATTTCTTCACTCATAAATTCAGTTTAAAATATGATAAAAAAAAAGGTTATAACCAAAATATCAAGAATCGCAATTTATATTAAATTTGTAAGATAAAAAACGTAGAAAAACAATTTTGGACTGTTTTAATATAGGCTTAGATACATACGAATATACCATATTATAGTACGTGCATATGACGTTACGTGACATTTATCATTCTACATGCTATTCTAAACTATACGTCTAAACTTGGCATAGTGAGAGCATTGACTACAGTTTAAATTTGTTACGCGTGTATATAAAGTATAAAATTGAATTTTAATTTTAATTTGATTTTAACGTAATACAGCTAACGTACACATTTGATGTATTGTTAGCTAACTATCTATGCATGTATAATAGATGCAAGGCGCGTATTCAGAGTTTTATTTCGAAAATTATGAAAATATATAAATATACGTATTCCAATACTATTAAGCATAAGCCACCATAAAACATAACCATATATTAATACAGGTAGTATTAATGCCATAATATCATAATAATTGGTAATCATAATATGTTATTCTGTGGAAATTGCATCAATAATAAGTAGGGCTCGGAAGTTTATGACCATCAAAATATTAAAAAAAAAAGATGCAAATATGATATAAAAATGACAAAAAATGACCTAAAAAATTACAAATATTTGTTTTAAATTAATAAAAATACATTTTTTTAAATATTTTGTTCTATTTTACTAAAACATTCTATATACATACATCAAAGCTTACAAATTACTCGAAAATCAAAATCATTGCATTGTACAATTGGATCGTATTTAATGTTATCAAAATTAAATGAACGACGAATATTTATATTTATATTTGGAAAATCTCACCACGTCTACTGAAGTAATTGGGAGATGCAAACGAGGACTAACCGACCTTTTAATTTTCGCCATTTCGAAAATATTACTAAAAAATAATAAAATGTATATATAATAAGTATTATTCACTATAACATGACAATGAGTAATGTAATCAGCGAGATAAAATCGGACAAGTTATAATGTTATAATGATCGATAAGAAACGATAAGAAGTGAACTAGTGTGAAATCAGTAAAAATTAATAAATATGTGGGAAAATTAACTAAAAATGTTAAAAAATGACTAAAAAAGTAACAAAAACCAAAAAATGAAAAAAAAAATGCAAAATAAAAATTAATTATTATAGTTTAATTAGTTATAATTAGTAGATCGCAGAAAAAACTAGAGGTTCTCAATAGATATTTTAAAAGATGATCACTAAAACCGCCCCCTAACAGTGCAGCTATACAATTGAATATGGCAAATAATTTTAGATCACACAATTACATAAAATTTCAGAATTATACGTTTTACTGTGTTTTGCATATTAATACGAGAAGACAAAGTTGACAAATAAAATTCTGATCAACCGGAATCCCATACATACGTATAAATAATATATTATTTGTAGTGTACCTAATGGAAAGATGAGCGCGTTTTAATCGGTTCGTTAATCTTTTTACCCGACAACAATTTCCCTTGTACTGTAGAACATAACAATCCGATCGTGTGTACGATCTATTTTATATCCGGTGACGGAGGCGTATCGCGTCTCTGTATAATCTAACACAACTGCTGTGAAGTCTCGTGCACCTATCCCAAAGTGACGTCCAATTAAAATATACGAATCACCATCCTAAGATTAGAAGATTAGGACATGTTAGGTAGTAGAATTGTTTTTGCAGTTGAAGATTTCATTGAATTGTTGTGTAATGGGTTTTCTGGTGCTCGAGCACCCACATAATTAATGTTGGACTTATACCTACAGGCAACAAGTCATGTGCATTTTGATTGTTCATACTTTCAAATTTGTTCAATTGACCTTTTCGAGTATAATTATGTATATTACTTTGTTATTTTTCTTATTTTATATTAACTATTTAAATACTGAATAATCATTATTATTATACTAATTATGTAATTAGGCCAGGCCCGTTTAAAAGTAGATAAATAAATAAATAATTTATACCAGTATATTGCATATAATACGAAAAAACTCCTACGCTCGTTTAAAAACACATCTTTATTATGTTATATGTTAAATACAATGTTATTTCCATAACCTAGAATCGGGAATTATTCGTCAAAAATTGATCTCACATCTAATCTCTCTCCCGATTATCCACGCTGTTTTGTAGCGATTTCGGAAGTTCTCTGAAGACTTCCAAACAGAGTATAATATAAAACCTATAAAATATAAGACAAATGTATCAATTTGCACAACGAAAAGGTCGTATATGAATATCGTATAGAAATATTTTCTATTCATTTTTATGGTGGTCAAATTTAAAATCTTCAAGTTTTTACAAAATATCGTAGTATACTGTGCAGTATGTGTTAAAATAATGTATACGTATTATAATAAATTATTTAGTTTACTTAATATCATAATAATTTACGTTTTTTTTCCGTACTAGTCCTGCAACAGTCGTATATGTCAGGGGTGGGCAATTAGTGGCAAGCGAGCCTTTTTTATCTGGCTCGTACTATATTTTCATAAAATTTTTAAGTTAATTGTCTATACTCTGTCTTATCGACATAATAATTGTTATTCGGTATTAAACATCGTTAAATGTCTAAATTTCGTATGTATGGAAACGTATAGCTTTCAACCATAGCTGTTTGTACCAAACTAACAATATCAGTTTCTTCATATTATTCGTATGTTGAATTTATTATTTTCATGTATATAAATGCTAATTAAAATTTATATTTTGAATAAACTTTTTTTTTTGTTTTCTTTGCTCTGGCTCGTTATGATTTTAATTTTCTAAAAATTGGCCCTCAAATAACTTTGAGTTGCCCATTCCAGGTACACGCGAACGACATAAATTGAAATGGAACTTTTTTTATTGCGATCGTCAACATGTAATATGGTCGACGAGCCCTTCTTTATACCACGACTAATAATTAGTCGTATTGTACAAAGTACTAAAATTATTATAGTTCTATGTACGATACGACGTATACTTAATTATTAATTCGGAAGACGCCCGTGAGATGATCACGCGTATTATAAATATTTGCGTTCCTGTGAATAATTTCGATTTTCACGTCCACGAATTCCGTTCATAACTTACAAGTCCAAGTGTGATTTTCGTACGGGCCCTGTTGCGCATAGGAATCCATGCACACATAATATATACAGCGTGTTCACGGCAGTATATATATGTATATATATATATATATATATATGGTACATGTGGTATATGTATGTCGAAGTCGATCGTGTAATTATATTGTATTCGAAAGATCAACACGCGCGCCGCGTGCTTGCAATTCTGTCGCGCAGCGGGAAACGGCGAGAAACGGTGTAAAAATAAATCGAATAGTTTGGCATCGATACGGCACGGTCTCATTGACAAACCCTTGAACCGGCGGCGACGACGACGCACGCGCGTGCTAGTGAATATACATATTACACTATATACATGCGCGCGCGCTGCGAGACGACAGATTCGGATTCTATTTCGATATTATATAGAAAAACAAAACAAAACTATATGCGGTTTGCCCCTCGCCACCCGACCGATGTCCTTTGCACGTTCTCTCTATCACTCTCTCTCTCTTTCTTTATCACCCTGTATCTCTCCTCTTGCTCGTCCTCGGTCAACCGTAACGCGTGAAAGGGTTGATGGCTGATGAGCCTGAGATATTTAGTCACGCTCGTGTACGCGATGATTAGTGTGTCTACGGGGAATAACTGCTGCTACTGTACACACGCACGCACAGACGATGCTAAACACATTTCTTTCAACCTTATTGTATATATATATATATATATATATATATATTCATCCCGCATGGA